TGTCTCCATCTGCGCTTAAAATCTAGACTGACAACCTGCTTGTTAAATCATGCACCTGCTTTCAGGTGTAAAAACCCTGTTGTAGAGGTCTCAGTCCTCATTTGTTAGACTTCCCTGTCTTTATAAATGTAACTTACTTAATCTCTCTCTCTCTCTCTCTCTCTCTCTCTCCATGTCTGAATAGAAGTCCCGTCAATGTCAGTCCTACTATTGCTTACCTCCACCACTTTGCTTCCTCAGTCTCGTCATTTATGCATACAAGCACACATGCACTTAACAGGCAGGACCAGCTAAGACAGCTAGATCAGTAAACACTCACCTAGCACATCCAGCTGTATTGCTGATGTAGCTGTGTGTGTCTGTCCAATGACAGTCAGTGAGGCAGCACATCTGTACTGGCCCCTGTCCATGTCTTCCGCACTCCCAATCTCCAGAGTAGTTCTGACCGTGAACAGCAGAGTGTCTGAAAGTAACACACAGGAAGGCAGCCACCAAACACACAAGCTAAATGTCACACTGCACAATCAACCAAACTCCCACTCTCTTTCCAAAGCTCATACACTGTACTGCTCAACACATTCTATCAACAGAGACTCCAGTTCCAATGGTAGTCACCATACTATGAGACAATACTCAGAACTTGACAGAGTAGAAAATTGGACGCTAGAACAGCACTAAAAAAATGTCCGGTGATTACATTCTTATCCTCAAGCGTATGAGAGTGCTGTGCTTACCACTACTGAGATTTGAGGTACTGCTAGTAATAGTGATGCGACTATTGCGTAATCCCGACGTCAGCACACTGTTACTAGGACCGTACTGCCACTGCACACTGGGAGCAGTGAAGCCAGTCACTTCACAGACCAGGGTGGTGGTGTTGGAAACCTGCACGCGCACCGTGCTGCCATCCGTGGGTTGAACTATCACAGGCGGTGCTGCACATGCAGAAGACAGGAGGAGGAAATCATGAGCATCCACGTGCAACAGACGGTGCTGGTAGAATGGAATAAGACATAAGACAGTGCACAAGCTGTACAAGCGTGTTCAGCAGTAACTTCAAGTGTGTGTGCGTGTGTGTGTGTGTGCGTGCGTGTGTGTGTGCGTGCGTGCGTGGAATAGAAAAGAACCGAAGCCGTTGTCCACAGGAGAGACAAGACTGTGTATAGAGAAAAAGCAGGCTTGACCGAAGCGCTTACCAAATACCGTCAGGTTGAAAGTGGTCACTGAAACTCCTGCCGCATTGCTAACTGTGAGGGTGTACAGTCCCGAGTCACTCCGCGTAGCATTCAGTAGTGACAAACGCTGATCACCCTCCGACAGTGTCAATCTGCCACTGGTCATTATAGTGCCGGCTGCAGGTCCTGTCCACACTATCTGCGGCTGGGGATCAACTGGTTGAGCAATTCTGATAGGGAACACAGCACCGGCATTGAGCAATATCTCACCAGGATCCTCCTCTTTCGTAACAGTTGGAGGAACTACAGAAGAAAAGAAAGAAAGAAAGAAAGGTAACACCGCTATTATTAGCAGTCAGACAGGCTAGCAGTAAGCGTGTACTTACTTGCACATAAGTGTCATGTTACAAGCAGTCTCAACACATGCCTTCCACATACCCAATCCTCCCGACGTGTGCATGTTTTACAAAAAGCGAATAATGTGAATGAGAAGACTAGCCATATTGTGATGGAAGTGGGTCCATGCATACTGTGCAGAGGAGTGCATGCAGAGTCATAATAATTATGTTCTATGTTTGATTGTGATCAGGCCCGCCGGAACCGGTCCGGTTGGTCAGGTTATCACCAGACCGACTTTTTGGCCACTATCACGTGTTTACTACTGTGGAGCGACATTTCGATACACAAACTGTATGAAAGGCCACAATACTACAGGACCAATCAAAAACTACCGGACCAATCAAAAACTGCTTCCGGTGGTCCTGGTGATGATGAGGGTGGTGCTAGGATAGGCCAAGGGCAACATAATGTCCGGAATCGAGAGCCTGAGAAATGGCCTGGTTCAGAAATTTATTGCTGATTATACCAGTTGTGCACTATAGCAGAAAGAGCAGAATGCAATGCCAGCAGTAAAACCAGGGTTGTTGCCACTGGTACGGCTTGTGACCAGTGTGTAATAAGTATATGTGGAAGTACTAATCAGCCATCCTTGTGCATTCCTCGTTAGAATCTCTCCCTCCTAAACTATTCTTCTTATCCAGTGAGAACTACTGTGCTCGCTGTATATCTGTTGCTACCGTGATGTGTAGCCGCGTAGAGCTAGAGATGCATGCTCCCAAGATACTAGTACTGAAAGTGGGCATGAGAAATGATAGACCCTCTAGCCGACCTGGGGCCGTACCACCCCTCAGGAGCTGGCTCCGGGCCTGAAAACGCCTTCTTCTGTACCTCTGTTTAGGGACACACCTCACACACCTATCTATGCCAACCAGTGCCTATCTGGCAATGCAGCCGTGATGCTTTCATTGAGAATCTCACCTTGCACAATAATCCGGGTGAAAGCAGTCGCTCTGAACACTCCCCTGGGAGTGCTAGCCATTGCTTCACATTGGTATGTGCCCCGCTGGCTGTACTGGATCTGGTTCAAGTTCAAAATGCGTGACGTAGTCAACAGAAGAGTGGCATTACCTGCAACATTGAAAACACAACATAACGTCACCATAATTCAAGGTTAACACTGTGTATTGAGCAGGGAGTGGTGCTTTCTTGCAGGTTTGCCGAGTGGACGGTTCGATGCACTTCTCGTGTGCTCTGGATGGCAGTCGTGAGTCAGTCAAGTGAGAACTTCAAGTCGGCAGGAACACCGCTAGCTCCCATGTTGGGAGCAACACACACTTTCCCTATGATTCAAGGTTAGTTTGGAGAAATAGCCATGCCCCGTAGAAGAAATTGAAGTATTACTGTGTACATGCACGTTTCATGGATAATGTGCCTGTTTCAAATCAACACTGCCACAATGCCACACCATGACTGTCCAGTGCTACAACAATCATCACTATGTTAGTACGCTGACACCTGCACTGGCCGAGACACCTTTGCTAACAGCACTCACTGAATACATCGAGCTGAGCCTGTGGCATTTGGGGTTTTACAACATCGTCCGAGTCGATGAGTGTCCAGGTGATACTGGCACCCGGATATGCCTTGGCTTCACAGACCAGTAAGACACTCTGCGACTGGTTGACAGTCAGGATTGTGCCATTCACCGGGGATACGATTAGTGGTGGAGCTGCATGAGATGATACACACACACACAAAGCAAGAAGGACAAGAAAATTAATTATGGAAACCAAAACCAAACTGCCTAATGCCTATAAATCAAGCAAAACAACTCGCTGGTGTTTACGACAGCAAGGACTGGATATACTCCAAAGGATTCAAATCTCAAACCTGATGGCACTAAATGGGACACTCCTCTCCACGCACCAAAAGCAGGCATCAGCCACCGATGCAACAACGGCGTGCTTGCTGCATGGACGGGCATACATGTACAGAACTGATCACAGCCGGCAAGTGCAAAGACACAATGCTTGCTATATGTCTCACTCACCAAGCACTTGCAGTGTGTGGAGCTGGTGGACACCACCAGTAGCATGCGAGATGCTGAGGTTGTAGGTCCCGGAGTCAGCTCGACTTGCGTTCGCAATGCTTAGTACAATACTCGTATCAGAGAGTTCCGACTTGACACCGTCTACAGTGGTGTCGAGTACGGTGCCATTACGTAGCCATTCAACGTTAGCCGAGCTCAGAGCGGGAAACGGGGTGCGTTCCAGAGAAACGGTGAAGTTTACAGATTCGCCGTCGATGGCGACTGTGCTCAGAGGTGTGCTTGCCAGCACCGGTGGAACTGCATCAGTAGACGAATGACGCCGAGACATCCATACCCACACATCCACACCCACACATCCATACCCACACATCCATACCCACACATCCATACCCACACCCACACATCCATACCCACACATCCATACCCACACATCCATACCCACACGTACACACACACACACACACTCACACACATGTACACACACACACACACACATGCACATGTGCCATTGCACAAGGAAATATGCACAGCAGGCGTTAGTTCTTTTTAATCCACAAAGGAAGCTTCCTACATGTCGCAATGCCACAAATATGGTTGACGCCTCCTCCCAGCCTTCCCTCCCCTCCTCACTCGGCTTCCCATTGTCAACAATGAGACGGCCATACATCACAAACAAAACCTGTAACCTCGAGTGTCTGCAGTCTAATATCAACAGGTAACTGTTTGAGGTAGGACATGACCCAACAACAAGCCATGTATGTAGCAAAATTAGACAGAAAACCCGTCGACGCTGAGACAGTCTTTCACTGGGGCTGTATGCACGCACCCTGCACTGTGTGCACGCACCCTGCACTGTGTGCACGAACCCTGCACTGAGGGCTGATGGATACACCCCGCGACTTACCATTGACTTCTAGGTTGAAGACGGCACTGTCATTACCAACGAGGTTGCTAGCTACAACGGTGTACTGGCCGACATGCACACGATCTGCACTAAGGACGGTCAGTGACTGGTTATTGGCGGACAGATCAAGGCGACGGCCCGTTAGATTAGCAGTATCCACAGCCAAGCCATTCACCAGCCATGTAATCGAAGCGGAAGGCACGGGTGGCTCCAGAAGAGAAATGGAGAATGTGACGTTTTGCCCTCGCAACGCAGTAATGCTCCGGATTTCTGGGTTAGTGCTGCTGATCACTGGTGGAACTGCAGTATAGCATACACACACATTACACACACACACACACACACACACACACACACACACACACACACACACACACACACACACACATACACACACACACACACACACACACACACATACACACGCACAGTGACACACAGTGACAAACAAACACACACACAATCATGCGAATGTGGAATGTGGAATGTGAAACTTGGACCGATGACCTAATGAAGAGCAAAATAATACGGAAAATACAGCAACAGACATAATCCTCTTAGGCTCCTACGAGTTGTTGGAACATCTAGAATAATACTTAACTGGAAATCAAGTGGGAAATGGTCAGAATGAAGAATGGCAACAAACACAGTGGTGCGCTGCATTGGTAAAGGGCAACTCTTTCCCGGCTTACCGTGAACTGTAATAGTGGTACTGAGGCTATCGCTAGCCAGGAGATTGACAGCGGTAACATTATACACTCCACTATCACCGGATGTAACATTGACAACTTCCAGCACCCTGCCAGCATCAGTCAACACATATTTATCACTGGCACTGATCTGGCTGGCAGCAAACGTCCACGAGAAAGTCGCGTTGGGATTCGGAACACTGGACAGCTCTGCAACCAACATCAAGTTGCTGCCCTTGAGCGGGTTCTCACTCGCCGGTGTGAGTATGATGGCTTGCAAGCGTGGTGCCACTAGCATAAGCAAAGGATGCAGTTACACACACGCGCGCACATTTGTACACACGTACATGTGAACCACACAGTGCACAAGGAGGTTCATCGATACAACAATTGAATTCATGTCACTGAAAACAATCTATTGATTGCATTGAACAAGATCGTAGTGTGCATTAGCAATCGGAGAAGATGGATAGAGGAACGTATAAAGAAGAAAATAGATGGGGGGGAGGGGGGGAGGGGGGAGAGAACAAAGTAAAGAATAGAAAACATTAACCTTTTGTCTCACCCATAGTAGCAGCAGCACCAGCAGCAAAACCCGACAGTACTCAGTAGTATGTGCCACACACACACACACACACACACACACACACACACACACACACACATACATACACACACATACATACACACACATGTGACATACACACACATGTGACATACACACATGTGACATACACACACACACACACACACACACACACACACACACACACACACACACATGTGACATACACACATGTGACATACACATACACACACAGACACACACACACACACACACATGTGACATACACAAACATGTGACATACACACATGTGACATACACACACACACACACACATACACACACACACACACACACACACACACACACACACACACACACACACACACACACATGTGACATACACACACATGTGACATACACACACATGTGACATACACACATGTGACATACACACATGTGACATACACACATGTGACATACACACACACACACATGTGACATACACACACACACATACACACACACACACACACACACACACATACACATGTGACATACACACACATACACACACACACACACATGTGACATACACACATACACACACACACACATGTGACATACACACATACACACACACACACACACACACACACACACACACACACACACACACACACACACACATACACATGTGACATGTGTCTAATGCTTACCACGAACATCAACAGTGACCGTTGCGTTGCTCGTCAGCATCTGATTGGTTGTAGGCACGGTGACAGTGGCAACACAGGTGTACGCTCGAGCATCACCTGGCCCGATCGACGTAACTGCCAATGTCTGTGTGACTATGGAAAGAGAGGAGATTGGAGACAACAGCAGCAGGGTCCGTGAGCATGTGAGCATGTGAGCATGTGAGCCGATGCGAGCATGAACGTACACCTGCCCATGAGAAGTCTAACATCCAGGCTAGTTCTGTGTAACGTTTTGAATGCTACTAGAGCAAGCAAGCAAGTCCACGTGTAACAGACAGGACCGGGCCACGTCAGTGTGGGCCACTCCCTGTGCGTCCTCAAGAAGGACATGCGTTTGCTGTCAAACTCATTGAACTCCCACGGCAAATTAAGACCCAGTTAGTTGCTAACACGGCTATCGAAGCCAGTACATACATGGCAGTCGCACAAACACAAAGACTTGCATTCCCAACCAGCAAGCTGAACTCAGAATACACACACACACACACACACACACACACACACACACACACACACACACACACACACACACATCTTACCAACGATTAAATTAGAAATATTCATTGAACTATCGGTTGTGCTGGCTGAAAGCATGTGGGGAAAGCTGACGTTAGCAGCGGGCCAGGACGTCACGGCACACGTCAATGTCAAATTCTCTGTCTCGTTCACTGCTATCATGGAGTTGGCGATGGGAGCCGAAGACGTGAGATTGATCATAGGCGAGACTGCAACATACAATGGCAGAGACGATGTTTTGAAAGGATTGGGAGAACTTCAGATTCAATGAAAACTCGCTTCCCTGACTGTTTACAGAGGCAATGTTAAAAGCAATTTCATGACAAGGTTGACAACTGTCAATGGTGACAGCTTAGAAGCAGTATTTTGGACTGCAAGCACATACAATGTAGTGCACGTACGGCTCTGGAATGAGTGCACACAATGAGATAATATATCCAGTCAAACTGATAAGCATGCAAAACACACACACACACACATACACACACACACACACACACACAA